CATCCGGGCACATCATTACAATAATCACTTGAGATTATAAATTTTATACAGAAAATTTTTGTAAACAGTTTTTGCAAAATATTGATATTAATTATAATAATTATTATTATTTATATGATATTATTATCATATATTATAGAATTGTAAATTACAAAGAATGTTAATGAAACGTAAGAAAATCTTGGAGTAAAATGCCTTTTAATGAAAATAAATTTCAAATTTCATTAGATTTATAAAAACTGAAATTAAAAATCTAATATTTAAAGTTAATATATTTTTAACAACTTTCGATCAAAATATTTATAGCAAATCGTTCGAAAACTCATGCATATCAAATACCTAGAATTATAGGTCTACTTCCTTCTATTATCAAGAGATTTATATATATTGACACGAAAGATAAAAATAGGAGAGAATGAAGTAAGACGCCTTTTCTGATGAACTAAATGCATTATGAAGTGAGCCATTATAAAATCGATATTTGCATGTTTGAATTTACACGTATGTTTCTTTATACATCTAAGGTCATATTTATACGAATAAATATCATCGTATCTATTACATATTAAAATTACATATGCTATCTATCGCTCTCTATATCTATCTCCAACTATCACCCTCTCGCTCAAGTTTTCTATTAGCTTTAAGGAAAATCTATAAGTATGTAAATATTTTTTATCATATTTTTTCGCAAAAAATATCGAGGATTACAATAAAATTATAAAACTAACACTTTTCACTCTAAATATTTCATTTCTTATTTTTGAATCTCCTACAATGAGCGTACGCATTTTATATTATATAGCTGATGGATATAATTTATTTTATATCATCTCGTTCTATTAATTAATTATATATACTACCGATATACATACAATACAGTTATCATTTTATCGACCTAGAAAAAATTAAATATAATTAATTACTTTGAAATGTTTAATCTTTACACATATAATAATAATAATAATAATATATTTTAATATAAAAATTGAATTGTTTTTGGGATAACAAATAGCGAGGAAATATCGTATCAATGATATTTTATAAGAGACTTCCAAATCTTTTGATAAAATAATGTTTTTTGTTTCAAGTGCAGCAGTTAGCATTAATTTTGTCATTCTAAAGTACATGACAAATAAATCACAGAGACGAGTCAACAAATCAACCAGAGAAGCAACGGGACGATCAAATGATTTAATTATCGAAGTAAATATTCTTGCTAACTAAAAAAATGTTTCAACTTTTTAATGCGGGAAACATTTTTAAATTGTTGGCTAAAAATATAAGATAAGTAATGCCAGTAAGGAAAATTTTTTAGGTACGATATACATTAGAATAAATGTTCAAATAGTATTCTCGACAAGCTATCGAGACGTGCAAAGCGGTTTTGCCTGCTGTTATCACTTGTAATATCCACAGCATAAGCACAGATCTGCGCTTGACTACATAAAATATGGCTCTTAGACCACACCTACTTTCGGAACACGAAATACAAGTAGCTATAGAGATACGTCCGACAAGATAGAAGAAAGAGGGAGGAAATATGAAAGAAAACACAAGCATAGTAGAGTCGGACAGGATTATATTGATTAGAAATTATCTTTAATAATATGTGCATTGAATACGAACATTACTAATTGCTCGAAAATACGTAAGTAAATTAAAATAAGATTTTTTTAAAATTTTCATGTTTGCCTATTCCTTTTTACCACTAGTTGTTCAATAAATTTCAATTATTTTACAAATTACGCTTATAAAAATTCAATTTTATAAGCATGTAATTTTATGTAAATTAAATTACATATATGAATTTCCATTTAAATCTAAATGTGTATGGTAAATAATGTTACGTCGTAAATTTCTTTATAATCATAATCGAAAGAACTTGCTTTTAATATTATAAAACTTTTTTTAACTTTATATTATAATAGCTAGTTAAACAATAAAATACATTTTTAATTTTAAGTATTTCGTGATTTAGTAATATTATAAACTAATTAAAATATGTTTCAAAAAAATATAAAATGATAATGAAACATCTAGATCAATATAATATATATATATATATATATATAAATTGTATTTCATATAATATAAAAGCTGGCGAATACAAAATTATCTCGTCATGAATTATTGTGCTTTCAAACAAATTATAATATTCAATCAAATTCTCAGTGTTTCAATAAAAAAAAAAAAAAAAAAAAAAAAAAACAAGAGTAAAACTACGTAGATGAATTCTTTCATTTTTAAAGAAATCAGCACTTAATTCATTCTTTAATTTATTCAAATAAGTCCTGAGACACTAGTATTTTATAACTTGTTATTTTATTACATGACATGTAAAAATTGGAATATTATAATTATTATCAACGATTTACATATGTTAACTTTAAGACCATATAAAAATCTAAAATTGTTAATACTAAAAAATTATTCTAATTTTGACAGTGTCATTTAAAATTTTTTACAACCCTGAAAACTTTTAATTTGATATTATACTATTTGATAATATCAGATTGAAGATGTATTTCGAAATTTATATTCCGAAATAAAATAAAACGAAGGATTTCCTGAATTTCGGGATTAGTCATCTAGATTGAGGGAGAATAGGAAAAATTTACGCGAAGTCTTACAATAAAAAGACATAATGAGAAAATGGTAGAGCAATGCTTACTTAATGATATTCTTGGTATGTTGGCAGTGTAGGATAAGCTTTGAAGAATCATGAAATTTCATTATAAAAATTGATTAATTTAGACTAATAAATTTTGTTCCGATAATATGAACATTTACGTATTATAATGAATATAATGAAAATTACATCTCTGTACTAGTTAACCTATCTATTTTTGGAATTAGATTTTATTTAAGATTAGAAACAAACAAAAATTAATTATTCTGTAATGAAGATTTATTTAATTTGAGATAATTAAGAAATATATAGATTTTTAATTAAATGTAGTTGGAAAATTTCTTTTTTTGTATGTATTATTTGCAATTGTAAATATGTATGTCAGATAAGTTGAACTTTTATTTCCTATCTTTATATTAGCATACATTTTTAATGAATTTATAATTACATATGTATATGTACGTATGTATCTTTCTCGAATTTTTCTTTTAATTATACTAAATATTATAGATAAGATTCGTAGAGTAATTTTAATAAGTCTCTATAATTATATCAATTAATTGATTGCACATAATGGATAAAAACAATTTGTACACAATAATGCAATTTATTGAAATATAAAGAATCTTTTAGTTTTTCTTGCATAACTATTCTATTGAATATTTTATAAAATTTAATTTAATATTTAATTATTTTTTCGTGTTGTATGAAATAAAATAATTATCAATTAATAGAGAAATATTTGACGCAGAACCATCTGCACCGCAAGAAAATAAACGTCCCGCTGAATCTACGTGTAATTGAGTTACACCCTACACACATAATATATACACATATATATATATATATATATATATATATATATATATATATATATATATATACAAAAAAAACATTATCAATAATTATTAAGTATATATTGCTATAATAATTATTGTATTAATTTGTGAAATGTTGAATTTTTTTTTTGTAAAAAAAATTTAAACCAGTTTTCATATTGCATTTTATTATACAAAATACATACATTAAACAAACATTTAATTATTAAAGATTATGTGAGAAAAAAAATAAAAATATTTATTTACAATATTATATATATTTTGTAATAAAATTATTAATTTTCAATAAAATTATGCGACGATACCTTTGCCGTATGATGAATAAATAATGCTTAGCGTAGAGTATTGAAGTATCGTTGCATTTAACACTTTTGCTCCTTTGGATTAGACAGCGAATAATTTACGAGCATTTTTCAATAGAACATCTGCATTATAGAGAAGTGTAAAAGACTTAAGGTTTGAAGGAGGCATTTCGATTAAAATATTGAGCAATTCCAAATGGAATTACTTATGCCAATTGATTACTTATACCCTTTATTCAATAAAGCAGATAAAGTTTAATCAATTATAAATTAAGTAGTCGAGGCTACGATCGACTACTCTACCATCTCATAAAAAAGCGATAATAATGGGAGTGTCGAGAGCGAATGGAGAAAGTGTATGTTGACAGGAAAATCTAAAACGTCGTATAGTGTAGTATAAGTTGTTGCGGTTGGGATTTTCGGACATGGATGGTAGTAAGACCTCCATAGTTGCATGTAACATTAGTTGAGCAGGATTACAATATTCGGCACATCGAAAAACCATGTCAAAGTTTACATGAGAATCAATATCGACTATGCCTTGGAGCAACGGCAATTAGCCGGTCAACAAATTATAAACTAATTATCGATCGAGGCGTCGGCTTAGACTTGTAAAAATTAACTTTTTAAATGCATTAAATTTTAACACACAGTGGTGGTTTTTCAGCTCCGTATAATGAATACTTGATGCGTCAAAGTTATGAAAAGTGCATTTTCACTTTATACTGTTTACGTATTATTTTCTTTTTCTTTTTATAAATTGTAGTTTTTAGATTGAAAATGAGAAATAAATTGAAAAACATAATGATTGTATAATATCCAGTTGGTAGTAATAAGATGTTATTTACAATTAATATTAAGTATTATTTGTATTATTTCTGTGTCGTTTTTCAAATTATCAATGTTTTCCACACGATTTCTTAAATGATTAATATTTATTACAAATATGATTTATGGTGTTTGTATTTGGTAATTAATGATTTTATGGCGTATGATTTAATATGAAATTTTTTTTTATGAAAATATTTTTCATTATTGCAATATATTTTGTATATTTTTAGATGTAGAATTTTGATGAATTTAGATTCATTATTAGTAATCCGGGTGAACGCGATGCTTTTGCAGCTCTACAATTTAAACATTATTAAATAGACTTTTGTATATTACAAATAACTTTTGTGTACAAATTGTTATATAATATGTGCCTTACGTATTGTAGGAACTTACCCATCGCTGGGCTGTAGATATTAAGGTAAAGACAGTCTTCACTTTGGTTACGAAGATTTGGTAACATCCTCTTTAAGTACTCGAGTCTTCCCTTGGGCATACGATCAAGGGCTTCTTGCTCAATAGAGACGTTTGGCAGTTTTTGGGGACAGACCGGTCCTACCTTTTCTGCCAATCTGAAATTCATTCGATATACGCAAGTATTGTTTGCACAAATAAGCTTACATATGTTAAATTATATTCTTCAATATTACTCCTACGATAGATGATCCTGTAATACATAGTCTTTAAGAGAAATCGGTCGTTGCAAAAAAAAAAAAAAAAAAAAAAAAAAAAAAAAAAAAATGCCGAGCGGAATAAAGATCAGTATAAAATTTAGTAAATTGAAAAAAATTACTGGTTAAATAACAAAGAAGATTGTAATATTAATCCGACGGAATACAGATTAAACTGATAATATATAATAAACATAAATCTTAGATACGACCATCGTACGTAGCGAGAAAAAAGAGTGATATCGTTAGGTGTGGAGGAGGCTGATCGCAGGTTGAATTAAATTCTGATATATTGAAAAACATTGCCGCTATTAAAATTTTACTGTACAATTTACAATAATAATAACAATAATAATAATAATAATAATAATATATTATAATAATAATACCGATAATGCGAGGATCTGAGGAATGCAGAAATTTCAATCTATCCTAATTATCGAAGTTAACCGTAACTCAACTAATTTAGATCGTCAAAGTCAATTACGTCGACTAAGAACTCCCGATTATTCATACTGACATTATTCAAACAAATTTTTTATGTACGATCACTAGAATACATAAATTGATGAAAATTACAAGAGATGTTAGATAAATTTGAAATACACTGATAACGAATAGACCTGATGACCGGCCATATTTTTGATCCTAGATCTTCTTATACTTGCGATAGTTTAAGCTATAGTTGTTGCATAGTTGTTGCCTTTAAATTTAATCTTTCTTTAGAGATCAGAGATAAAATAAAAGCATTTTTTTTCTATGCTTGAATTAATTGCGACAACTTTTGGCCAGACTGTTTATATCTATTTAATGGCGTCATGGATCCATAGGCCTCTATAATATAATTTAAGTAAGCTAATCAATGAACGTATGGTGCCTGAGGATGCGATAGTGTAATAAGGTAAATATAATTTCGAAGAGACAGAGATCCCGGGATCAATATTACTTTCCAATATATTGCTGAATGATTGCTTAAATAATTCAATTCGTTATGTCGGCAGATTATATTGTTGCACATGGGGTGTTATTTTTCGATGAACGATATAATCATCTTTGAGCGTAGAATTCAATTCTAACATAATAAAGTCTATTGTTTATGACGATATTTTTTCGCACCGGAATAATCAAGGATTATAATTCTTTCGATGAATGCTTCATTAAATTAGGCAAGCACACTCGACGTCGTCAATCTGTCATATATCGTTAATAAATTTGTACGTTGTCGATTTACACGTCGTTTTAGTTTCATAAGATTCATAATGATGGATGACTGATTATATCTTGTTTCACATATGAATCTTATCGTATTTAATTTGTTGTTGTATCACTGGCATATATACATATATCTATATATACTTTGAACATCTTATGACATTGCAGATTATCCCGGATCAACTGCTGTGCGCCAATTAAAATATTCTGAGCAATTTTGTGATAATCTGCGGTCAATGTATCATAACGTTTCATAAGAATTCGAGATTTTGTTTTGGGAATAATGCAGATTTTCCACCCCACGAATCAACTAAACATTATTGTTAAAGCTTATCGGAAGCATCAATATAATCTGTATGAATAAGCTTCTTAGATATACTCAGAATTTTCAAACGATTAATTCGAGATTTTTTAAAATATTTATCGAGACGAGGATAATGATTTTACGCTTTCTATTGCTGCTACTCTCGTTGCTTGATTGACATAAGTCGTTGGCAAACAAAATCATCTTGCCCACGACAAATAATATATTCAATAAATATTAAAATTCGATCAAACGAGTTTTCAACATGCGAATTATGCAAGTTAGTTGTTTAATTAGTACACTTATATAATATAAGAATAATGACATAATACGAAAAAATATATAAAAATGTAAAACCAAAGAAACAATAGAAAATAATATAAGATCGCTTTTATTATTGCGTCTAAATAATTATTATCATCTTTTGCGGTATAACGCTTAGCTTAAGGCGAAGTCGGATACAGCAAAAACTATTACGTAAATTTTAAATGACAATAAAACAACATAAATTTAATCAAAGAGAGTGAGCACTTGGGAAGAGAATTAATTGAATCATAGCATGTTGAAACGCGTCGTGATCAAACTCTGATTTGCAGTCTATTTCCGCTATTTCATCGACAGTGAAACTAGTGGGAAGTTGAGAATTGTAGGAAACAATGATAAGATACGAAGTTGGAAAATACGAAGAACATTGCAAAGATCTGCTCCCAAGGTCTTGCCATTCTTTTTTTACGTCTCATAAATAATGATAAGCGACTCGACCTCCGTATTCGATTGTTTTTTTTTTTTTTTTTTTGCAAAAATACGGCTCCTTTACATTTCTACGAGTATGCTCAGTTTGCTAGATTCAACCTCTAGAATCTTTAACTAATAGTTCATGAGATTGTCCCTAGATCTATACAATTCAGCCTAAGATTATACGTGCTCGTATGCATATATAATAAATAAATAATTACACAATGCGTTATAATTATAAGGATTAGTAATGAACAAATTTAATAATATAAATTTAGCTAAATTATAAATTTACAGATTGCTATACTCATGTTGAAAATATTATGTATATTAAGTAGAAACTTTTCATTGCGAAAAATAATAAAAATATTCTATAATCATTATTTTCTCATTAATTTAAGATCGAATAAAATTTTATATGCATTAGAATATTATTTTAAGAAATCATTGATTTTATTCTAAAAATGAGGATAGGTTGGTAAACTTCAGATCTTATATATATTTCAATTCTCCACTTAATTCATGGATGCCATTATTTCAAGTTACTGTAGCCTAGCACATTTTTGACACTTTGTCAAAAAAGGTCATTTGCGTGTTTTATAAAGTATAAAAAAAAAAAACTTATTATTCGTGTAATGGATAATAGGTATTGTGAATAAATGAAATAGAATAAGCAAATATGACAATAAACTTTGATGTAACATTTGAAAACTCTGGTCTTTTAAATAGAACTATTATGTATTGAAATATTGAAGTTGAAGCGGATTGAAAATGCTATGATAATGAATTATATTATTCAAAAAAATCACGAATAAAATAATTTCAATTACATTGAAAATCAGTTTATTTATTATAGTAATAGGAATGCCAGCTGAATAACTACCCAATTTTTCATGCAAAAATTGTGTTATAAACAAACTAAGTGAACGACGGTTTTTTTTTTTTTTTACGTAATGTATAGTATGCTGAATAAAGTATTTTAAACAATTATTTCGAAGCATAATATTAGAACAATTTTTTTATTATTTGAATAATGATGACATTTAAATTCATTGGTGCATGGATTATTATGGGTTAACGTGTTCAAAAGAGAGTTAAAACAATTGAATTTATACACGTGAAATGAGTTGTATCGATAATTCTGAAAGAAGAAATAATATTTCAGATCACTTCTCAATATCATAATGTAAAATTAGTTCCCCGTTAAAGTAATAAATTTTGAATAAAAAAAAAAAAAAAATGCCACTTCGACTAGTATATCGCTGCTCCGCCATAATAATACTCAACATATTTCGATTAAATTATTTAAATATTTTTTTAATTTATGTTTAAGTGATTAATAAAAGATAATAATCGGTGATAACCAAGTGATTGCCATCATCATTAACTACATATGGAGATTTGACAAACAATATATCCGATTAGCTTAAATAATTTGTAATACGTTCAATTAATATATCCAGATAAATTTTGTATATATTAAATAATAAATTTTGAATTAAAATTATATTTCTTATTTTATCCAGTCGTGTCTTTAAACTATGATCTCATATTTATTACGTGGCGTGAATATAGTTCAAATACAATTTGTGACATAATTCAATAATATTATCATACTGTGTGCCGTGCCAAATTTTCCAACGACGTGTACTTGTTCTTAATGGCAGCACACACACGTTTATGATACAACTTATTTCTCATTACCACAACTAGCAAATTCAGTAAATAGAACATTCTCTACGATCTGTTTCACCCCCGACAATTATATTTAGAAAATTGAATTTGTTAATAAATCATTCATTCGAGTTCACAACTATTGCTGAAAACTTTTAGTAATGTAAGTGCATTAGTATTAAAATTAATTAAAGTACTTTGTTTATTAATTGTTTGAAATCCATTTAATCCCATTTACAAGATATTAGATATTCCATTAATCAATCTGATTAATCGGCCACGAGTATGTATACATTCTATTTTCAATTATTACAAACTTAAAACGAAATTTGCAACTTTATACATTACCTTAGGTAATATAAGAAATACAGACAAATATAAGCATTTATTTGGAGTTTAAAAGACTTTGAACATACAAAGAGACTCATTGATTAATCTACATATATAATTATTAATAATCAATAACTATAATTATAATTGTTCCTCTTTAACATGTTAAACGCACATATCTAATAAAAATGGTTTTGACTGTCGCTAACTATGCACGTTAAATTTTGCGATAAAGACGCTAAAGTTTTTGTTAATTCAGAATAGTATTGAAGATTTGTAAGAAACGAAACTAAAGGGAAGCAATAATAGTACATGATAAATGACTCACTTATTTCCATCCCAAGGGCTCAGCGCTCTCGTCGGTGAAAATCGATTTCCACCGATTGGGGGTGTAGCATAAGGTACTCCGAGGTAGACATCGATTGGTTTGAGGTATCTTTCGTTTTCAAATGACATGATCAGACCCTGTATCTTTCCGTACCTGTGAAAAAGAGCAAATAACATGATAGATATATGCTTTTTCCAAATAAATATCTATATTAAATAATTAAAAATATTTGTCTGTGTGCGTGTGCGCGCGCACGCGCGCGTGTGTATTTTTTAAGTCATTGTAGAGGTACGTTAAATTAATTGTATATACCAATTGTATATATCAAATATAATTTGTGTACAAGTGCAAGTAGCAACGTTATATACCTTCTATTGTTTATTATTTGCAATTAAGATTATTGTGTGTATTTACGGTATAATTCCGATTCAGTACGTGAATTTTATAATTAAATCATCGTTGCAATGAATATGAAAAAAAAAAAAAAAACACAAAGACTCTAAAATAAAGTATTATATCCTTGATGTTGTAGGTATCTTAAAAACCTTATTCGTTTCAAATTCATCGATGTAATAGTAATCATTGTTCATAATATTAATTGTTAATTATTGAATACATTAGATTGACAATTAAAGAGGATAAATTTATTTTATAGATATTTTTTTCTTACAAACGACGTAGAGTATGTTAAAAAATATTATTGTAACTTGCATTAACTCGAGAAACACATATGCCTTACTGGAGGAAAATGAGGAAAATTATTAGTATAATAAAAAAAATGTATTTTATCCAAATACAATTCCGTATATAATGTGTAAAAAAAATATATCATAAATTTATATTTTTTTGTAATATTTATGTTAGAGTTAATTGAATTATTGATAGTATTGTGAAAATCTAAATAGTTGGATTAAAAAATAAAGTTAAATTTAAAATATTATGCGTATCGATAGTAATATCAATTGAATAACAATATCATTCGAATAGCATATTTATCAAGAAAAACTTTACTTTAAACATTAGTTTTCTTTTGAAAAATAATTTCTTATTACATACTAATTATACTAATGATATTTTTTCACCTCTCGTCAAGATTTAATATTTGAAAGAGCTTTTTAACACTAAGTTCACTCAAGTAGTTTCATAGTAATTTAATAAACGTAAGGGAACGTTTCACATCTATAATTTCATATACAAATTATATTTATAATACCTCGTCTGTACAATATGCGGATTGAGCTTTGTTTTAATAGTAATGCCTTGAGTCCATGGTGTCATTACCAATACCAATAAGAAGACAATCGTCAACAGTAATCGCCGCTGTAGTGTTGGCAGCACCATCCTGAGGGCGGCCACACCCTCGCGTCAGCCTCCTCCAGCTCCTCTGTTTCGTTCTCCTCTTCTCCCTCCACTTCTCTTTCTTCGGCCTTCGCCGACGCTGACACTCTTTAACACTAATCGTACTTTCTTCCTGTCATGCCTGATCGTACACGGACTTACACTATTTGCATATATATCAAAGAATGCCGA